CGTGCAATCGAGATTGGGGTACCTGGACTGTGGAGTCGTTCTGGTGGCTGTTTGAATTGGTGATGACCATCCACAGCTGGCTGGTTCGAGTGTGAGTACTTTGCACGGGTTAGGGTTAGGCCTGTACCTCGCTGGCAGCAAGGCAGCTCCTGGTCCCGCGGGAGAGTGCGGCGAGCTAGTCCTGAACAACAGGGCGGGGCAGGGGGGGTCTTTCACTGACGAATGGATGCTGGTCGCGATGGGTGGACAACCTCCAGTATATTTGTTGGAGCTCCGTTCAAAACCTCCGAGCTGGGTGCCCGCCCTGACCTTTCGAGAAATTGGCTACCTGCCTACGAAATAATCAAAGGGCCCGGCGGATGCGCAGTATCATCTTTCTACGTTGATTGGAAAATGGCGCATTCTGCTTCTCCTTTTCCCGTTGCGTGTGTCTAGACTTGTCTGAAAACGAAAACGTCCCTACCTAACCCGTACCTGAGGTACCGCTTCCAATGGCCATTGACGTGGTTTCTTGATCGAGGGTCTCCAGCTCGTCGCCCTTTTGCTGCTTTACCTTTATTCCTTTTTCCCTTCCCTTGCCTCATTTCGCTCACGCCCTCCGTCCCTCCTTCCGTCCCTCCTTCCGTCCCTCCTTGAGTGTCTCCCTTTCCGTTTCCTGTCTTTATCCTTGACCTCTTATTTGTATACTACGCCACGTTCTTGTGTCTCTCTTCTTCCGGAGGCCATCGGTCGTCTTGCCGTGGTCGTCATCCTCCTCCTCCTCCGGGCACCTCGCGCCAAAAAAAAACCGCGACTACGCTCCGGCCTCGCCGGCCTCGACGTTCCCGTCATGTCGCAGCCTCCCCAGCCAAAGACGACGAAGGCGCCCCCGTCCCCGCCGGCCGCCGACTACAAGGCAATTATCGACTACGCCGCAGCGATGCGCGCCAAAAAGGAGAAGAAGGACGTGGGAACTGTGGACAAGGCTGCGGACAAGGTGGCGGAAAAGGTCGTTGTGGACAAGGCAAAGGCACGCCAGGAAGCCAGGCTGGCCAAGGAGAAGGAAGACGAGCGGATCAGCGCCTTCGAGCGGCAGAGGGAATCCGTCGAGGCTGCGCGCAAGGTCCGCTACGACGCTCGCTGGCTGTGGGCGGTGGGCTTCTGGGTATGGATGCTGAGCATCCATGTCGTGGGCATCGCCTACTTCACCAGCGGCTTCCTGTTGACGCGCCTCATGCTGGACGAGAAGTCGAGCTGCGACGCGCCGCCCACCCTCAACAGCACCGGCATCGACGTCCTGCCCAGCTGGAGGGGGAAGGGCCACGTCGACGGCGGCTGCTGGCATCCCAAGACGTTTGAGCGCGCCGTGGTCGTCGTGATCGATGCGCTGCGCTACGACTTCACCGTCCCCGTCGACGACAATGCGCCCTTCCACAACGCGTTCCCATTCATGTACGACACGGCCCGGAGGTCTCCTCAGAACGCCTTCTTGAGGCCGTTTATCGCGGACCCGCCGACGTCTACGCTACAGCGGCTCAAGGGTCTGACGACGGGCACCTTGCCAACGTTTGTGGATGTGGGGAGCAGTTTTGCTGGCGCGTCGATCGAGGAGGATAACCTCCTGATGCAGCTACGGGATGCGGGCAAGAGACTTGTACACCTTGGGGACGACACGTGGGAGTCCCTCTTTCCTGGCTACTTCGAGGCGAACTTGAGCAGGGCCTACGACAGCTTCAATGTCTGGGACCTGCACACGGTCGACAACGGCGTGGCTGAACACATCTTCCCGCTGTTGGGAAAGCAGAAGGAATGGGATGTTCTGATTGCGCATTGCCTGGGCGTAGACCATGCCGGTCACCGATATGGACCCGACCATCCTGAAATGACCAAGAAGCTGCAGCAGATGGATGGCTTCATCCGGGATGTAGCAGCAACAATCGACGAGAAAACGGTCCTGATTGTCATGGGCGACCATGGAATGGACGGGAAGGGCGACCACGGCGGCGAGAGCGACGAGGAGATCGAGGCCGCGCTCTGGATGTATTCTAAGAGCCCTGTGTTTGGCAGGACGAAGCCCGAGTATGTCACGCCTCCGGCCACCGCGAAGACCAGGCCCGTCAACCAAATCGATCTGGTCCCGACATTGGCGCTGCTCCTGGGCATCCCAATCCCATACAACAACTTGGGGCGGCCGATTGAGGAGGCCTTTGTCGGTGCAAGGGGCAATGCGTGGGATACGCTGGCCGCGGCGGAGAGAGTGACAGCGGCGGGCATCAAGCGCTACCAATCTTCGTACTTCGCTGCCCGTGGCATCGACGAAACCTCGACTCCTGGGTCGCCTGCCGATCTCTGGACGAAGGCCGAAGCTCTTGTTGCAAAGGGAACTAGAAACCCCGACTGGGCCACCGTCTTCTCGGCCTTTGCCGCCTACCAGCAGGAGACCCTCAGGCGATGCAAGATACTCTGGGCGCAGTTTGACGTCAAAAATATGATTCTCGGGATAACCATTATGGCGCTCGGCGTCGTTTCTCTTCTCGTTTATGTTTCCAAGGGCGAAGACGACGATGTTGCGGTAACGGAGGACCCAGAACTAGATATCGCGGAAAGGGCCTTGGAGATGCAGGGGCTTGGCGCCGACGCAGAAGTGACCGCTGGCCACGACCTCGACAAGCGCCTCGTCTCCGCTGCTCTCCTCGGTGCTGTCCCTCTCCTCGTCGGCGGTGTGGCTCAGTCTGTGGTCTCCGGGGATGGCGACTGGTATCGCGGCGCTGGGCTTGCAGCGCTGACGAGCATCGCAGCCGTCTTGGTGACTCTGTATGAGTCCAAGGAGACCCTGTTCAGCCTGGTGCCGAGGACTCTCTGGGGCTGGATGGCGGTCGTTTTCACCCTCAGCCAGTCTATCGGCTTTGCTTCAAACTCATACACGATCTGGGAAGACTCGATCCTGCTCTTCTTTATCACGACCTTCGGCTTTGTCTCGGCGCTCTCTGCGCTCAAGTTGCCGTCGCTTGCGGATCGCTACCTGAGCATCTACCATTCCGTCCTCTTCGTGTTGCTCAGCCGACTCGCGTCCTTCTCCAAGCTCTGCCGCGAGGAGCAGATGCCGTACTGCACCTCGACATACTACGCGTCCGCAACATCCTCGACCTCGGCCCCCTGGCAGCTCCTGATCCCCTTCACCGCCTTCCTCGTCCTACCGTCCATCATCAAGGCCTACCTCGTTCCATCACGCTCTTACGAGGGTTTGGCTCCCACCTGGATCGGCTACGTCTTCCGGTCTGGGCTGTTTATGGCGGCCTTGTACTGGGTCTTTGACGCTGCCGACAACGGCAACTGGGTGCCCAGCCTACCCGCCAACACCTTCAAGAACATCAGCGTCTACATAGCCCAGATCGTCCTGGCCCTGGCCCTCGTGGCAGGCACAACCGCCTTCGTCTGGGCGCCCCCATGTGTCTCAATCCTGACGGCCACGCGCAAGCCCGGCCGGGCTCAGGTGACGGTCCTGGGCTACGGCAATGCCCACGGGGCGCGCTACCTGCTCCTCCCTCTCAACATCCTCGCCGCCTGCTTCCTGCTCTCCAAGCCGATGGGCGGCGGCGCGCTCGCCATCATGATGTGGCAGATCCTCTCGCTCGTCGAGATCCTCGACCTCAACGCGCTGGCCGCCTCGCCCATCGGCCCCGTCATGCTCGCCCTGCTCGGCAGCTTCCACTTCTTCAAGACGGGCCACCAGGCCGTGCTGAGCAGCATCCAGTGGGACAGCGCCTTCGTCCCGCTCTTCGCCATCCGCTACCCCTGGAGCCCGCTCGTGGTCGCGCTCAACACCTTTGCCGGCCAGATTGTTGCCACCGTCGCCGTCCCGCTCGTCGTCCTGTGGAAGGTCAACCCGCGCCGCAAGGGCGTGCTGGCCAGCGTCAGCCGCGCCCTCGGCGTCTTCGTCGCCTACTTCGCCGTCGAGGCGCTTGCGAGCATGGCCTGGGCCGGCTGGCTGCGCAGGCATCTCATGCTGTACCGCGTGTTTTGCCCAAAGTTCATGACCGCCGCCGCGGTGCTGCTCGTCGTCGACCTGTTTGGCATCCTGGTCACGCTCGCGGGCGTCCGGTGCAATACCGCTGCGATCAGCGAGGTGTTTGGCTGGGCGGAATGAGGCGCGTTTTCTTTCCCTGTTGTGGTTCGTATGTAAATAATAGAAAGAAAGAAAGAAAGAAAGAGGCAGAGAGGGTTGATGTATGCTGATAAAGAAAGAGGAAGAAGAGGATGGGAAAGAAAGAATAAAGGACAGGGGCCAGTAAGCGTGTGTTGAGAAGACGCATGCTGCTGCCCGTGATGGTTTGGTTTGGTATACACGACGTGCCTACCTACCAACCTGCCTACTTCCTAGATGTGAAGTACCTAGACAGACAGTTGAGGATGCATCGTTCTCTGGATATCCAATTCGGAGATAGCATTCATGAACAATGTAAATAATTCGTGTGCATGAGTATTGGATCCCATGAATGGAGTCAAAAGGACGGTTTTCTTTGTAGCAGTGGATATAGGTTTTTTACCCGGCTCCGGGCCGCTCCAGGCCCGAGCACGGTTTTTACTATGTATTTAGCATCAGAAGTACCGGCAAGCCTAACGGCATAACGGCGTAGGGATAATGATAATAATAATAGTATTGGATCCCGTTATAACGCGCAACGTACAAATAAAGGTACCGTCTTCAGGCTGTAAGTGCAAGGGTTCACGTCCGTCACTACCATCCACCACGGTCTTTCCTCCACCATCAGCAGGAATAAAGCCCATCATTGCAAAAAAGACAAGGAAAAGCCAGCAAACAAAGGTACAACGTTCATCGCATGGACATCACCCCAGAGATGTTTCGAAGTAAAGCGGGGGGTCCTTACTGCTTGAAGTACCCGGGCGTGAGCGGATTTTCGACAGATTGTGGATATTGTACCCACCAGCTCAACGAGGAAGTACATGCTCACACACACATGAGCAAGACTAAACACCACAACCTGCATCAAATACATAATGGGAAGGTGGCCGAGCGGTCTAAGGCGCCACGTTAAGGATATATCCTTGATCATTCTTCTCTCCCCCGAGAGAACTACAATCCGTGGTCTCGTAAGAGGCGTGGGTTCAAATCCCACCCTTCTCAATCAACAGAAATTTCTAGACATATGCTCAATATGTCTCAACTCCACAAATTGTGGAGCTTGATAATCTTTTGTCATTTTTTTCTTTCCATTTTTTGTTGCTTCTTGTGTCCGCTGTATGCAGGTGGGGCCTTGTCTTTCTTGCCCTTGTTGTCTCTCAGTCTGTCTTGTTCCCGCTGGTTGATAACAGTTGGTACGATGAATGTTGGTTGGCTCATATAGCGTTACAAACATTTACTCACAGACTGACTCTTCAACCTGGCGACATACATCATAAATTCGAGTGCAGAAAGACACACAGATAGAGACAGAGAGGGCTAGCGTCATTCTTCAACGGCAACGGACCGTAATTAATGACCGAATGCAACTTCGCTCAGCCCAAATGGGTGCAGTTGGTTGTGCGCTCCTTTAAATCACAATGGCACATGAGAAGTTGTTTTGCTTCGGACATCTTCTATTAAGGGAGATGAGAACCCAGAAGCACCTGACCGACCATCTACTTTATGTATATATCTAACAAGCTTCAAAGAGCCTCATTTTCCACGCTCTCTGAAGAAAATTCTTGATCCCAGCCCAAGAACATGGCATCTTGTTGAAGACGCAGTTCGCAGCCTAGTGGCTTCCATCTGTAAAGCCGTTTCCGCGTCATCACCGAACCCCAAATAGAACACCTTTTCACCCCGTGACCGTCAACGCCGAGTTGAGAATGGCGGCCCCCCATCATGCTAATGCTGTTGAAACAAATCCGGATTTTTCCGTTTCCCTTGAACGCCGAGTTGAGAATGGCGTTCTCAGAGGTATCATCATCACCCGTTTTAAAAACCGTTAGTAGAAGACCCAACCTCTCAAAATGCTAATGCTGTTGAAAAAAATCCCGGACCAAGCACCCGCATCTCCAATGCTACATAAGCCAATCAAATTGCCTAAGCCTTGGTGTACTTCGCGCGGAAGAACTTGGCAGCGTTGACCATGTGGGTGAGAGCACCCTTCACCTCATCCCAGTTGCGCGTCTTAAGACCGCAGTCGGGGTTGATCCAGAGCTGCTCAGGGCGGAGGAATTCGAGCATCTCCTCGATGCGCTGCTTGAACTCCTCCTCGGCAGGGACACGAGGGCTGTGGATGTCATAGACACCGGGTCCAATGTGACGGGGGTAGGCCTCGTCGACGAAGACCTTGAGGAGCTTGGCATCCGACTTGGAGTTCTCAATGGAAAGGACATCGGCATCCAACGCGGCAATGGCATGGAAGAAGTCCTGGAACTCCGAGTAGCAGAAGTGGGAGTGGATCTGAGTGGAGTCCTCAACACCGGCGGTGGCCAGCTTGAAGCTGTCCACAGCCCACTTCAGGTAAGCATCACGCTCAGCACCCTTGCGGAGGGGAAGACCCTCACGCAGGGCAGGCTCATCCACCTGGATGACGAAGATGCCGTTCTTCTCAAGATCAATGACCTCGTCACGCAGAGCCAGAGCGAGCTGCTGGCACTGGACGGACTGGTGGACGTCGACACGGGGGAAAGACCACCGGAGGCAGGTGACGGGTCCAGTGAGCATGCCCTTCATGGGGCGCTTGGAGACCGAGGCAGCGTACTTGGACTCCTTGACGGTCATGGGAGCGGGACGGGAGATGTCGCCCACGATGATGGGGGGGCGGACGCAGCGGGAGCCGTAAGACTGGACCCAGGCGTGGGTGGTGAAGACATATCCCTCAAGACGCTCACCGAAGTACTGAACCATGTCGTTACGCTCAGGCTCTCCATGGACGTAGACGTCCAAATCAAGCTCATCCTGGATCTGGATGGCGAGGTCGATCTCCTTCTTGATGAAGTCATCGTACTGCTCGGCAGAGATCTCACCCTTGGTGAACTTGTTACGCTGGATACGGATCTCCTTGGTCTGGGGGAAAGATCCGATGGTGGTGGTGGGGAAGAGAGGGAGCTTGAGATGCTCCTTCTGCTGGGCGTAACGGGTATCGAAGTGAGACTTGCGGTCGTGCTGCTCAGGGGTGACCTGGGCCTGGCGCTCCTTGACCTTGGGATCGTTGGTGCGGGTGGACTCGGCACGAGACTTCATGGTGGCAGCGTTGGCATCAAGCTCAGCGCGGACAGACTCGGCATCGGCGATAGCCTTGGCGAGGATGACAACCTCCTTGGTCTTCTCAACGGCGAAAGCGAACCAATTGTGAACCTCCTCGGGCAGCTTCTTCTCGCTGGCGAGGGTGTGGGGAGTGTGGAGGAGAGAGCTGGAGGTGGCAACAATGACACGGTCGGAGCCGAGGGCCTTGACGGCGGTCTGGATCAGCTCGATGGACTTCTGGAAGTTGTTCTTCCAGATGTTTCTGCCATCAACGACACCAGCAGAGAGGATCTGGGTGGGACCGAGCTGCTTGAGGACGGGCTCGAGCTGCTCGGGGTTGCGGACGAGGTCGACATGGAGACCCTTGACGCCAGCGAAAGCAGGGAGGACATCAAAGTTGTGGACGATGTCACCGAAGTAGGTGGCGACAACGATGGAGGGGGCAGCACTGCCGAGGGCAGAGAGGGCCTCATAGGCGGGCTTGAAGGCAGCCTTCACCTCGGCGCTCAGGTCGAAAACCAGGATAGGCTCGTCGATCTGGACGCTCTCGGCACCGGCGGCCTTGAGGGCCTTCAGAAGCTCGACGTAGACGGGGATGAGCTTGCTAAGGAGAGTGATGGGGTTGACGGTGGAACCTCTGTCGGCCTTGCCGAGAGCAAGGAACGAGACGGGGCCAACAAGGACGGGTCTGGTGGTGATGCCAGCAGCCTTGGCCTCGAGGAACTCGCGGACGGGCTTGGGGTCGGCCGCAAGGGAGAAGGTCTGGTTGTCTTGGAGAGTAGGCTTGACGTAGTGGTAGTTGGAGTCGAACCACTTGACCATCTCAAGTGCGGGGACATCTACACCGCCCTTCTGGTGGCCACGGCCCATGGCGAAGTACTCATCAATGGGATCGAGCTTCTGGGACGTGTAGCGTTCGGGAGCAGCCTAAGGACGGAGAGCACGGTGTCAATTGGCTGCACTTGGGTGCGGGAGACGATGCACGGCAAACACATACATTGAAGAGCTGGATGTGGTCCAGGACGTGGTCGTAGTGAGCAAAGTCGTTGGAGGGGATGATGTCGACACCGGCATCCTTCTGGATCTTCCAGTGGGCGAGACGGAGACGCTTGCCCTCGGCGAGGAGATCAGACTGCGAGAGCTTGCCGCCCCAGTAGGCCTCGTTGGCCTTCTTGAGGTCACGAAGGACTCCCATACGGCTTCATAAACGTCAGCCGATGCCCGAGCCGAAGCTTCCGGATTGCTCAATTGGAGGGGCAGCACTTACGGGAATCCCAATACTGAAGACTGGACCATCTTGACCGTGGTGGTGGGAGCGGTCGGGGTGTAAGGATAGGGCGGTGGTGACGAGGGATGATATCGCAGTGTAGAGAGTGGTCTTTGCCTGTGTTTTGTTCAGGTCAAAGAAAAGAGGTGGAATGAGGAATGAGGAAGGAGAAAGAGAGAGAGGGCGGGAGATGGGAGGAACAATAGGAGGGGGGAAGTAGGTAAAAGAAAGAAGGAGAAGGAGGAGGAATCGGCAAACTTCCTGACCCAGCCTAGCCAACCTGACGTTAGTTCGGGCACCACCTCACTCGATTTGATCTGGTCGCCTCAGTTACAGTCGGCGAGCGCGGGCAGCGATTGGACCCCGCCTCGTCCTCTGGCCAGGAAGCACGCAAGCACCCTGACCCAACCTGGGTCCTGGGCCGGGATCGGTCTGGAGTGGAGCCTATGTCTTGGGGAGGATCGTTGCTCTGTGCCCTGTGCCCGGTGGCCGGTGTCCACTCGCTGCAGATAGCAGTTGCAATGCAGGTTTGCTGCCCGAGGTCAATTCGGAGACCAACGTCTTGGGCAATCAGCGCAGCGCACCCGCCCTCTCCGGCGACATTTTACGGGGAATTGGACGGGGAATCTATTGTCTGAGTGCTACCCCTCCACCCCTCCATCAGGATTCAGGAGCTCCAATCCATGCACCCTCAGTGGCCGACCAGGTAAAACCTAAATTGGCAGTCTCCAGGGACCGGGCTTGGTCTGTGCAGCACTGGGGTCTCGACCAGGTTAGAAAACGGCCGTCGTCAAATCCAGCGGTGAGCGCTATTTCCTTGGCGGATGATGTGACGAGCCGCCCCCACCAACCCCTCTATCCCCCACCCCAAAGTGGATCTGAGCTCTGGAGGGAGCTCCGGCCTCCGGAATCATGAACCAAACCAAAATCTCGGATAAATATATCTCCGCCAGCGACATTACACAACCCGATCAGTCAGCCCAAGCTCGGTCCATCATCGAAGGGTCCTGCGATGCTGATGAAACTGACACGTGCCCGGGCATAACCGCACTGTGCGTTGCATTGGCTGGACACGGACAAGCACGGCGTCTGTTGAGCAACACTTGTCCATTGCGCCTTGGCGAGACCTGACGGGTCACGGATGCACTTCAGCCACACTTGTTGACGACTCAGAGCCCTTCCTTGGTTGAGACGGAACAGTGCTCCATGCTCGTTGGACTTGGCGTGTAGGTTCCAGGTTGCCAATCACCCTGGACGGCCGGGACGCCTGCTGCTACAACTTCATACCTTATCCCAACCGCCAAAACGACTGGTGAGGGCCTCGCAAGAGCTTCGTCATCGCCGTCTTTCCAGTTTGCCTTTCTGCCTTTACGAGCGCGACTCGTAGCTCGCACCTCGCCCCTTAATACTTATCAGCGCCAATTTTATTTTGGCCAGCCTACTCATCTTCGATTTCTGCCGCGGATCCCGCAAACCACCTCGACTAATTGCCGGGGCGCGCGTCGCTCTCCGCTCATTTCCGTTGTCGTAGCAATCTCTCTAATCTTCTTCTCGTGCCTAATTCATCGTCCGTCAACCTCGCCGTCGCCAACAACATCCCACGCGATGTATTCGAATCCCAACAACTTCCTGGGCGGCAATGCCCCGCGTCCGGGCCAGCAAC